CTCTCCTTTTTATTCTTACGTTTAATCAAAATTTCATAATGACTCACCAAGAGATTAGTCGTTCGAATTTGCCCAACTCGTACAGTAATAAATTAAAGAAAAAGGATTTCGTGTAGTTTTGTTTTAATGTGAAATACTCTAACAAAAAGTACGCAGTGTTTTCATTACGAATATGAAAAATGTTACAAAGGTATTCGTGGATAAATATACACTAGACTTTTTTACAAAAATCAAGATATTATTATCCTATGGAATATGGAATATGACCGTTTAAAAAAAAGGAGGAAAAAAGAAGGGTTAGAAAGTAGAGAGAGTAAATAGGAGGAATGAATGAAAAGAGAATGTAGAGTTTCATTGGGTTTGTAATGAACTTATCATACAAATATAATGCAATCACACACTCCATTTTCAAAGAATCCACACCATTCATGGCCCTCTGCAATGAAGATTGGGAGTCCTGTCCCCCCAAATGACGAGAATGCCCTTTGTGGAGTAGGAATTGGAAAAAAAAGTGTTGATGTGTTGGTGGGTCAACTGGTAGAAAGTCTTCCCGTAATTTGAAAGCTGGGTTAGTATGTGGGGGCTATCAATTTTACTTCTTTTTTCATTTTTTGTGGAATTTTCAGTCTTTTTGGTTCTTTGGAGGAGTCTTCCTTTTGAGGCTTTGACCCTAAAATAAATTCTCATTTTCCATACTTTTGCCATCTTCCAAGGCTCTCCTCTCACCCATTTGTGGGTTTTGTTCTTCATTTCTGCAAAACAATCAGCCCTTTAAGTGTCATCATCAATCGAGGCCTATATTTCTTCATCCCCTTTAATGGTTTAGGTTTGCTTTTTCAGTCTCTCACTCCCTTCTTGAACGGACTCTTGTGCTTGGTTGGTTGTGCTGCTGAGGGGATGGGCCCTAAACTCCACTGAGGTTTAATGGCGACATGGGTCTCTTTCTCCTCCTTCACTGCTCTCTTTGCTCCCGTTTTCAGCTGTCTCGCATTTAATTTTTCCTCTGACTGTTTTTTTGAGCTAGATAACAATTGGGTTTTCTGATTTCTTGTCTTTAGACCTTGTTGGACGAGCTTTACACGAGCTTTTTCTGAGGGGATCTCTGATTTCTGAAATGGGTCTTTGAGATAATGCTCAAATCATGCTGCCTCTTTATCTTCGACTTTAATTTCCTGAGTTTCCGATGCCCTTTTTGTCTCCATTTTTTTTTCTCTCTTTTCTTTTTCGCCTTCGTAATTCCTAAGATGATTTGTAGAGGTGGAATGAGGAAGTGACAGGTCATCTCTAGAATTCAATGACTGATTCTATTTAAAGAAGATTTTTGTTTCCTGAAACCTGAATCGTGGACTTCCCAGAAGACGGAAGACTCGACCTGCTGTGATTAATTTGTATCAGCATGCCTTTCTTGTTCTTATATGGTTCTTGTAGTATTAGATAAATGTGAGGCTGACATTTCATCTGGTGCTGCAATTCCCTCAAGGAAAGAAATGGAAAGAATGATCCAACCTCCTCTGGTAAGTCCTTTATCTATCTCTCAATTGGCTGATATGTTCATGTACTATGATCTTATCAGCAGTGGAGTTCTGAGAATGTTGATTTGATTTCTTAAGATCCTTGTTTGATCATTGATTAGTGCAACTTGGAACTTGATTTTTATCATGTTTGCTTGTTGATCCCATATTCTGATGCAAAATATTGTCAAGTCAAGTGGTTGTTCCATAGAATTGATATGGATTCATATGGATTCTTGTAAGTCATCTTGGACACCATGCCATCTAATAAATAAGATCAGTTGACATGAAGACTAGAAGTAAGATGTTTAAGCAATATTAGGCATTATGCATAATATATATTTGGTGAAGCTGCAAATTGTTGAACCTACTCGTTGAGATGGATAGCAGAATGACTTACATTCACTGATTGACGGTTTCAGGTTGACACAACAGCTTGTTTATGTAGAGTAGATGCAGGCCTCAAGACAGTTGCTGGAGCTAAAAAGTTTGTCCCTGGTTCAAAGCTTTGTCTACAACCTAGCATCAAACCATCTATACACCCAACTAGGCCTAAACCGACTCGCAGTGACAGAAGCAGGAACCAATCTCCTCTGCTTCCTGGACTACCTGATGATCTTGCAATAGCTTGCCTTATTCGTGTCCCGAGGGTTGAACACCGTAAACTCCGATTAGTTTGTAAAAGGTGGTATCGTCTTTTGGCTGGCAACTTCTTTTACTCTCTCCGTAAGAGTCTAGGAGTTGCAGAAGAATGGATATACGTCGTTAAGAAAGACCGAGATAATAAGATCTCGTGGCATGCGTTTGACCCTATATACCAGCTTTGGCAGCCTCTTCCTCCTGTCCCTAGAGAATATTCTGAAGCTCTTGGGTTTGGCTGTGCTGTTCTTAGTGGTTGCCACCTCTATTTGTTTGGTGGAAAGGATCCAATAAAAGGAGCGATGAGACGAGTCATTTTTTACAGTGCCAGGACGAATAAATGGCACCGAGCCCCGGACATGCTTCGGAGACGATATGTCTTTGGCTCGTGTGTGATCAACAACTGTTTGTATGTTGCAGGTGGGGAAAATGAAGGTGGCCATCGGTCCTTGAGATCTGCTGAAGTCTATGACCCAAATAAGAATAGATGGACCTTCATCTCTGATATGAGCACTCCCATGGTACCCGTGATTGGAGTTGTTTACGAGGGTAAATGGTATTTGAAGGGGTATGGAGCTCAACGTCAGGTTCTAAGCGACGTCTACCAGCCTGAAACCGACACGTGGTGCCCTGTTTATGATGGAATGGTTCCGGGTTGGAGCAACCCAAGTGTCTCCTTAAATGGACATCTTTATGCTGTTGACTGCAGGGATGGCTGCAAACTTCGAGTCTACGATGAAGTATCCAACTCATGGAACAAGAGCATCGATAGTAAGCTGCATCTGGGGAATTCTCAAGCATTGGAGGCGGTTGCTCTCGTTCCACTCAACGGAAAATTGTGCATCTTTCGCAATAACATGAGCATTTCTCTTGTTGATGTTTTGAAGTATGAAGATGCCAGTGGGGATTCTGGTGAACATCTATGGGAGACCTTAGCCGGAAAAGGTCACCTCAAAACCTTGGTCACAAATCTCTGGTCGAGTCTTTCGGGTCGAAGTCGTCTGAAGAGCCATATCGTTCACTGCCAGGTGCTTCAAGCATGAATTTTTTTTGATAAGTTCTAGTTTTGCTTCTCCTCTATATATATCTTAAAATCATGCTTAGATGTCAAACATGAGGGAATCAAATCAATACTACTTCAAATAGTTTTGTTACATGGACAATTATATCCTCCCTGTCGTCTGTCGTGTTCTTGTTCTTTTTATTGGTGAGAAAGAAGGGAAACAAAATTGTCCATTCGCCATAAAATTATTTGAAGTAGTATTGAACTGTGATAGAACTGTGATAGAACTTGAAATATTTCTGCAACATACTGTAAGGTGATTCAGATGAATGAGCCTCTCTTGATAATATAGGTACATAACAAACATGATCATGTGTATTTGAGATGTCCAATTTCTCTGGAGACTCTGATAGACTGTTGTTACATAAATTTTGTATGATACACAATCATTGAGTTTCTTACACTATTCGGTCACACCGTGAAGCTGATCTTCTTATTATTTGTTGTTTCTTTCTATTCAACACAATAGCGATGGACTAATAATTAGAACCTTGGCTGTCGAGTGACACAATCGCACGTTTAAAGGCAGCGGACTAGCGATTGTGCGGCACTCACTTTCCAACGACAAGTGAGCTAAGCCAATTTGTACTTGCGTCGCCTACGGCTAAGCGACGTATGATCAAGCCTCTAGCCTCGGTTTTAAAAGAAGGTTTTAGGAAAACGAGGGTAGAGAGAGATTTTAGAAAGAGAGATTTTTGAAAGAGACGTTATATAGCAAGCAAGAGAGAGATAACAACGGCTTAGCATATATAACCTTGGGTAGGGAGAAGTTGACAACTAGTCATATCCCCCTATAGTACATTTTGAGGCATTTCATGTCTGGCAGGCCTAGACATGATATTTTTGAGGCGTCATAGACCTAGAACTACAAAAGTAAAAACACTAGAATGAAAAGGCATGACAAGGGTTTGGCTTGCCATAGGCATGCGGCCATGGGCAACACGCCCTGGACGAGCATGACCGTGACACCGAGCTACATGTTCAAATTGATTTGTCTTTGTTATAGGTAGAAATGATACCTAAACTCTGTTTTGAATTTTGCGCAAGCATGTAGATTGGAGGTTGGAGGCCACCAGTTGACGAGTACATATTCTCGCCTATTTGTACTTGTAAATATTTTAAGAGTTTTTTAATTATCAAATATTTGTCCATGAAATTAGTCAAAATGGATATAAACTAATTTTTTAAACATTTATAGTGGTATGTTTTAATATTATTTTGAAAAATAAAAAAAATAATATAATGCTTCCCACCAATCATATTAAAAAAAAAGAACATAGTGGCACTCCAATAACATTTTTGAATATTTATTTAAAATATTTATAATTAATTTTATAGCGGGAGAATAACCATTTGAATATAATTTAATTAGTTAAATATTAATAAATTTAGTATTAAAGCGGGTTGAAAATGCACTACACAGAGTCTATAATCATGCCCATTTTTTTTTTTTTTTGAATTTTGTATTAATAAAAATTTAAATTTTATCTTTACAATTAAAAAAAAATCAATTTTTTTAATTGATTGAAAAAGTTGAAGAAAAATCTATTTTAAAACTTCAAATTTGATAAAATTGATTTAAAATTTAAATTTAGTGGAATATTTATTCAATTTTTAAGATACTAGACTTAATTTTAGAAGTATAATACCTTAAAAAAAAACAAAATTATTTAAAAATAATAAAATATAAATTAAAAAATAAGAAATTATATATTTAGTAATTTAATAATATTGAGAGGTGTTACATTAAATAGAGAATCATTGGTTATAAAATTGGTTAATTATTTGAGAATTGTGGCGGCCTCAACACAAATACCTGATTTTTAGATAATTTCAACCCTTTTCTTCACTTGCTCAACTCCTTTCTCAATAGCGTGAGTTTTAGGGTTAGGGTTTTAGCATGAGCTCAATGGAAGAGATAACAGAGGGTGTTAACTCCATCGCCTTGACGGCTGATTCGCAGAAGAAGAATCGAATTCAAGTCTCCAACACCAAGAAGCCACTCTTCTTCTATGTTAATCTCGCCAAGGTTTGTTTCTTTTTTACTCTCTTCTTCCATTTCGCTTACTCTCTTCGCGTTGTTATTTGGTTTAGATTTTCAACTTTATCCCGGTTTTGGGTTTTATCTGTTCGTTTATCTGGTTTTGATAACCCTCTGATTACCATTTTTCAATTTGTGTAGAGGTATATGCAGCAGTACAATGAGGTCGAGCTTTCTGCGCTTGGAATGGGTAGGTTATCTACACTGTTTTCGGGCTTAACATTTAGGGTTTGAGTTTAATTTCTCCTTCTGGTGTTTGGATGTAATTTAGTACTGTATTTGTTATGCTAGTTACTTTGGACGGTTTGAGTTACTTCGGACGGTTGAGCAATAGAGTTAGAGATATTTTGTTAATGAGTACATTTCATTTGTTAACCTTTCATACCAAGATATTCATGTTCTTGTGTGATGTGATATTTGACAAATGAAACATCTTTTCAAATGTTCTCTTGTGGGAAGCTAACTTGTCATTGTTTTTTTTTTCTTTTTCTTTTTGCAACTAGTCTATAAATTTTCTGCTTGCATATCAATGCAGTCAATTGATCCTTCTGCTATGGTGTTTTGGGTTATTAATATGTTAAAACTTCTATGGATGCTTTTGCAGCCATTGCAACTGTTGTGACTGTTGCGGAAATTCTGAAAAACAATGGACTGGCTCTAGAAAAGAGTAAATATCCTCTTCCTTCATTTTTTTATAATATGTAGTCGGGGTTTTCTCCTAACACTCACCAAAATTTTCTTATATTCTATAGAGATCATGACTTCTACCGTTGATATCAAGGATGATTCTCGGGGGAGACCAGTTCAGAAGGCTAAGGTAATACCTCATATTGCCTTCTTGTTTTGGTTTCTTCATAATGGATGAAAATTTGGAAGTTTTCTCTCTTGTCTCCATTTTTGGAATATAAAATTATATTCTCATGTCAATTTTAATCCAACTTATCACGTTAATTAATTCTCTTAGTTGGACCCTAGAAATTAGTGCAGGTAATGGTATTTGTTCACTGAACATGCAACTGAATAACTGTGACTGTGCAATTCTCTGTGTTTTCATTTATTAGATGTGTCTTAACACTTGTCATGACTGATTTTTGCCTTCCAGATTGAGATTGTGCTGGGGAAAACTGAAAACTTTGATGAACTGATGGCTGCTGCTGCGGAGGAAAGGGAAAACGGAGATGGTGAAGAGCAGAGTTGAAAAGATTTTTTTTTTTTCTTTTTTTTCCCTGTTCTTCTTATCCTCCTTGTGGATGAGTCTGGTTATTTCCTTATATCTGGTCTCTCTGCTTTTAATTAACGTTAGCAACAAGTGGTTTATTTACTGATGTAGGCTTTAGTTGGTGAACCATTTATTTGCCCTTTTTTAGATACTATGGGATATCTTCGTTTAAGAGCGTGGAAACCTAATCTGAGTTACCTTTCAAAATCAAGTTTATATTATTATTTTGATGCATCAATTTTGGTAAACATGCATTCAATAGGTGACCTGCTTCAGTAATTCAAACTGCATTGAAGTCTATTCTCTGTTTATGTATTACGATTTATGATTGAACCTTGCCCTCCATGATCTGACGATCACTATGGTGGACATCTGCTTGAGTTCATATCACGGATTGACTAGACATGTAAGGTCTCAAAAGACTGCTTTTGAGAAATATAGTTTGTGATAGCATAGTATTCTCTGTAGCTATTACAACTTGGGTTAACTTGATGCATTCAGGTCTATAGCAGGCGCCTCTCCTGCGATTAGTTTTATAGAACTTTTCTGATGGAAGGTGTGTTGGTTTATTGTTGATAACAATTTGAAACTATAGTGTTAACGCTTGTCAGGAAGTGAAGCCTCTCCTGCGATAGTGATTACTCTTGTTTTCAAGATCAAAAAACTAGTTCAAACTAGTAGAGTTTAGAATGCGTACATGTCTTACCACTTGTCAGGAAGTGAAGCCTGGAAGACGATTATTCGGTCAAATATACTTGCAACTTTTCATTTCATACATGCTTAACTGGGTCAAGAGACGTATTAGAAATTTGTCTTTAAAGGTCCATCCAGATAAAGAACAATGCTCTTGGTGTTGAAGAAGCGTTCAAGGCTATATCAAAGGCACTTCAGTGTCTAGGTAACGAGAAGAACACAAAAAGGTATGATCTTGTTGGGGTCAGAGAATCAAGTCTTGTTTGAGTGTGGATTGCTGATTAAGCCTTTGTTTTTGGCACAAAATGAACCCATTTGGGTCAGAGTAGACCTTGAAAGTTTGATAACTTGGAATGATATCTTTACCAACCAAACCTCTCTGGGAATGGTACATGGATTTCCAAGTGAGAACTCCATTACTACCTCCAATACAAAGCTTCTCATCATCCCTTTCCATCATTTTCAAAAAAGGGCTCATATAATTTCTACTCTCTAATAAATTAGGGATGGAAGTTTTTGAAATTTATGTGTTTTGGAAATATATATTTTCACCATTCTTAATTTAAGTTAAAAGTTTTAATTTTTACTGAAAATAGTTGTCGTACTTTTTGTTAAAATTAACAATGAATGAAATTGGAATCAAACAAATAAAAACAGCCAATACTTTTTTAAGTATATATTAAATTTGATGAAATTACAAGTTTTATGATAAAAATCACTTGATGTAAAATTTGATTGATTTTCTCCCCTCAATTTAAATACTGGAAACATTTTTAAAGAAAAAAAAGAAAAAGGAAGGCAAGAAAATTTTTAATTTGCGAAATGATGTGATGGAGTTATTCTATACTCTTCAGCTGAAATTGTCCTATAAAGCCACTTAACCTCGCATCCAAACGCGACCTTCGACTTGAATACTGGTCTCGATTTCCCCAATTTTTCTCATTCGATCAGGAATTGCAGTCCCTAGATTTCTCTTTTTTTTTTTCTTCCAACCGGAGCCGTCGATGCGTTTACATTGATGACATATTACAGTTCTTGAATTATTGAATCGTCTTGTTCGCACCGTCTGTAAGTTCAAATTCTCAAAATAGATTCTTGTTGTGATTGGATTTTAATATCTCGATCAAATGTGTAATTAGTTTTCTGCCATATTAGCTTTGCGGCAATCGCAATACGAAATTGTTAGAATCGATTCTTTCTATTAGTTCCCGGTGATGAATGTAATTTCTTTTCCCCCTTTTCTTGAAGGGAATTGCGGATACGTTTTACTTTTCGATATTTCGGATGGACGGGAACAAAGACGATGCTTTGAAATGTTTGAAAATCGGGAAAGAAGCTTTGGAAGCCGGGAATCGGACTCGTGCCCTAAAATTTGTGAATAAAGCTCGCCGTCTTGATCCGACGCTCTCCGTTGACGATCTGTTATCGGAGATTCAGAACGTTTCCAGTGACGATTTGGGTGCTGATACTGGTGAATCTGGAAATAGGTCGTCTGATACGTCTTCATCCAAGCCCTCGAATCAGCCTTCGATTCGCCGTAGAGTTGCGGCATCCGGGTCTTCTGAATCTTCCACATCGGTAACTTACACAGAGGAGCAGATAGAGGTTGTGAGGACTATCAAGAAGAAGAAGGATTACTACGAGGTTTTGGGATTGGAGAAGAGTTGCACTACTGAGGATGTTCGAAAGGCATACAGAAAGCTGTCTTTAAAGGTTCACCCAGATAAAAACAATGCTCCTGGATCTGAAGAAGCGTTTAAGGCTGTATCAAAGGCGTTTCAATGTCTAAGTAACGAGGAGAGTCGGAAAAAGTATAATGTTGTTGGGTCTGATGAGCCAGTTTACGAGAGACGAACTACAAGACATGATGCTAATGGATTTAATGGGTTTTATGATCCTGATATTGACGCAGAGGAGATATTTAGAAACTTCTTCTTCGGTGGAATGGCGCCTACAACTACACATTTTCGTACTTTCAATTTTGGCCCTGGAATGGGACATGGAACAGCTAATCAGGGCTCAGGTGGTGGCCTTCGGACTCTGATTCAATTGCTCCCTGTGCTGTTAATATTGCTTTTGAACTTCTTGCCATCCTCAGAACCTATCTATTCTCTTTCCCTTTCCTATCCCTATGAATTCCAGTTTACCACTCAGAAGGGCGTCAATTATTATGTGAAATCAACTAATTTTGAAGAAAAGTTTCCACCTGATAGTCTGGACCGAATGGAGCTCGAGCGGCACATTGAGAGGGATTATGTTAGCATTCTTGCTCAGAATTGTCGTGCTGAGATGCAGCGTCGGCAGTGGGGATATATAAGGGAAACTCCGTATTGTGATATGTTACAGAAGTTTCAGACAGCTGCTTCATGAATGAACGAAAAGGTTCATTTCATCCCTCTTTTTATCTTTTTATCAGTCATAGATGTATAATCAAGATTGCTCGAGAATGTTACCAAGTTGTTATTATCTAATCGATTAAGCTTTCCTTCCGTGGTACCTCTCCATTTGTTTGGAATTTGAAAGCCATTGAGCTTTTTTACTCCAATGAGATGTGCAATATGCATTGTGAGACTATTCATTTCTTATGCTAATCCTTGACCTTATAAGCGATATTATATGTGGCTGGATAATATCTTTTCAATGATTCAATTGGAGACTACATGGAAACAAAAGCTTTCTATATACCATGGTGGCCATCTGGTGAGTGAGTTGATTTAATCGTTCGGTTTTAATGTTTTTTACTCGTATGTTGTGGCCTTTTCGTTTATTGGAGCTGAAACAAAGCTGAATGACTGAGCTAAAAAAAAGGCATAAACAAGATATGTACAGAAATACTTTTGATCGTAATCATCAATGAATTTGATGCATTTGAAGGGAATTTTGTTTCTTATGGCCTTTTTAAGTCTTATTTACACATTTGTTGTAGAGTTGTTCTGCAGGGAATTTGTCTTTCATGTTAATCATGAGATTCCTTTGTTGAGTTTGGATTTGAGACATATGTTTGTTCTTGTTGGATCGGTATGGCAACCCTAGAGGGGGGGTGAATAGGGTTTTAACGATAAAAGTGTTTAAACTTGATTAATTTTTCTAATGATAAAACTTTTTACAAATAAGTAGAAGATGATAATTACTAAAACAAAATAATTCAAGTCAAAACAATAATCAAGTAGAACATGCAATAAACATAATAATAATCTTGAAATTAAATAGGAAAGAGTTAGAGAAAATGACACCGTAGTTTTATAGTGGTTCGGTCAAACTCGACCTACTCCACTCCCCAAGCGCCTCTTGGGAATTTGAATAAAGAACTTTTCCGACTCTTTCCACGGATCAGAGCCAAACCGGTACACCGCTCTTTTTACGAGTTCAAGAGCAAACTCAATCCTTTCAACGACGCAGGATCAAACCGATACAAGTATTTGAGTTTGATAATAACACACCACAACTCTCTCAAAGAGTAGATTTACAATTTGGGATACTGACAACTATTTCCTCACAATATAATAATAATCCCTCTCAAGAATAAGATGAAAAGAAATAAACTTGTAAGCTTGGAGAGAGCAATAAACAATGGAGACTTTGAACAAATGAGGATTGAAGAATGTATGTAAGTTGTGTATTTTAAAAATGTGGGGAAGATGAGTTTATATAGAGGAGAAAAGTGGCAAAATGTAGGATTGAATATTGACCATTGGATTGTGTTAGGAATAATGGAAGGTGGAGATTAAAAGTAATTAAGTAAGAAAATTTTCTAAATTCATTTATTTCAAAATTTTAATATAATAGTAATATAATATAATAATAATAAAAAGTTATGTGAGTAACGGTAAAATGTAATTCAAAATTTATTATAAATATAATAATATAATAATAATAAAAATGATGTGAGTAACTACCAAAATTTTAAAATATAATAATATAATAATATAATATAGTAATAATAAAATTCGATGTGAGTAACGGTTATATTCAAATTTATATTTGTAAAAATAATTTTATTTAGAAATGTAATAATAAGAAAAACTCCACCATGTGTTACTCTTCCAATATTATAAATGTCATACTTTGATATATTTTGATTTGTCCATCATTTTGATTTTGTTGCCACATCATCACGTCGGGTATGTTGTCTCGACTCTAATTTCTTCGTTTTAGCTCTGATTTGAGTAATTGAAAAGTTGTTGTAATCGTTATTCCCGACCTTATACTGTGGACAGTTCAAAAAACTGAAAATAGTTAATAATTAAAAGTAGGTTTGTTATCATCAAAACATCAATAATTAATTCATTGAAATTAATTAATGTGAGATCAAGGGCCAATAAGCCAACAATCTCCCCCTTTTTGATGATGACAAATCATTTAAAGAAAAATTCATAAAAACCAATAATACAACATCCATGTAATAATATCACTACATACTAATATATTATCATAAATTTCACTCAAGAGCATATTCTCCCTTATATTAATGCCTCAAGAAATTATGAAACACCAAGTAAATGATTCATAAATTATAAAATAACAAATT